AACCGGCAGAAAAATTTGCCGCTTTGAATATTTTAAATTATCGGGGAAGTAAAGGTTACCTTTTGAAATAACGGTAAATTACTTCTTTTTTTGAGTAATTGAGCGATCTAATTCATAACTTTTTAACCAAGAGTAATTGCAATTGTAATGAATTGCGTTTTTTGCGTAACGTGTACGAGACTGCCACCGTAGCGCCAGCGCACGGCGGAAGGGCGCAGGGGCACGCTAACAGTCACTCTAAAAAACGTCCGTGCGTCTACTTTCCCGCACAACAATCGGAGTGCCGATGATCGCATCTTACGGAAAGAGCTCAGCGAATTATGATGCCGAAACATATGTTTATACCAAAAAACAAAGTCTGAGTTTTGACATTAAGCAATGCGAAACGTCACGCTTGAATTTTGCTGAATGTCACAACTCAGACCGCGTCTTTTGGTCTAAACATAGGTTTCGGCATCGTCATTCGCTCAGCTGTCTCCGTACGCTGCAGTGATTTGCCATACGAGTGTTGTGCTGGAAATGAAGCGCACGAGCTTTTTTAAGAGTGTTCCTCCCGCAGGAACCTAATTTGTATGAACAACCAGCCCGAGAAAAAGGATGTGGCGGCTGCTTACATCCCTCCAGAGATTTCTTCTTTCTTTTTTTTTTTTTTCTTCTTTTTTTAGTACCGCTTCAACGATGAAGATCAATTGCGTGTCATACGCCTCCTTGTTTCTTCATAGCTATTTAATTTTCTTTTTTATCACAGCTGCGGGCCACGCAGCAGGCATTCACGACCTCGGTGTAGGAGATTGGAAAAGCTTGAAATTGCTCACAAATTACTATCGCAATGAAGGCTATAGTGTAGTGAGTTTGAATACTTTGTCCTGATTGTGAATTTAGTAAGCCAAACTACAAAAAAAAAATAACATGTCGAATTCTGATGCCTAAACATAACAAAACACAGTCTTCTTTAATAAAAAAAATACCCTGCTATTGGTATATTTCTTTTCCAAGCAATCTCGCTACCCTCCACTTTGGAGCTCTTGGGATGTTTTCTGCTTCTTGACATATTCTTGTTGCTATTTGTCTTGTCTCCTTTCTGCTACCATCATTCGAAGGTTTCCACGAAAATGTCTGAAATTAAAAGTTCCTGAAAACAGTGATCATGTACCCTGAATGTTGTCTGCTGCAGAAAGATAGACAAACAGCATCAGAACTAGGCAGGGGAATGATAGGCAGTGGCGCACTCATGGTGTAAACTTGCGCCGATTTGCGTCCTTAGCAGTACTGTTCACCAGAAGATTGATTTGTTTTCTCTGTGCATAAAAAAGTTTTTTGTTGTATATTAAAAAAACGATACTCTCTTTCTTCTAGGATGATAGGTGCGCCACGTAAAAACACCTTTCTAAAAATAATTATATTTCATTCATTAGCTTATTTACGCGGGTTTTTTTTTCTTTTTTTTATTGAAACTTATGCAGATTACTCTGGCCTTTCCACTTTATCAGAGGAAGCGCTGGAGAGGATGTCGTCACCTCTCCGGCGTTCGTTTTGCTAAACTGGAAAGATGGGGAAGTAGTTTCCCTTGAACTTCTAACCTGTCACCGACTATAACGTGACTATACCTGCAGCAAGACCAGCTCGTAAGCGTTTAAACGGGAACTCAAACTCGGTCTTGTAGTTTCACGTGCACATTCGCCCAACGTAAGCCGAATCGGCACAACGAAGGCCTTCCGATGCCAGTGCTTGCGGTCCAACGCCAGAAGTAAGGAAGAGGAGAGAGAGAGAGAGCGTGCAGACGGCACTTTCCGGTTGCTTCAAGTGACCCACTCTTCCCAACGGTCTCCCGGAAGACAACTTCCTAAACCTTTGAAGCGAACTCCCGGGAGAGATCTGACGTTACGGGGCTTAACGTTTCCGTCACATCCCTGACCGTAGCTCTGTACTCCGTTCACCTCTACGGTGACAGTACGGCGGGAGCTACGCGTGCCACGAAACCAATCGTCCTCCTCAATTTCGTCCGATGACCCCGCTTTCGGCGCGTGGGTGCGGACGGGAGCGTGACCACGTGAACAACGCTGGCCGTATGATTGGTCCAACAAGCACATAGCTTCCCCCGGACTGTCCGCTGAGGGGTGAACAGTACGGGTGGATAGTTGCTGCGCAATTTCATCCCCTCCATCACGTCATAACTTTAACCTTTTTTGGTCCTCCAAGTCTCAGCAGGATAAAGAGCCTGCCCCGTTACTGGGTGGCCAGCAATACGTCGTACACTCCATCATTTTCTCTTACGCAAAGTGTTTCACCATTAAGTTATTTTTAGGGCACGAAAACTAGAGAGATGTGTCCTTCGGGAAAACTTCATCGACCCCGGTGGACGGCAGGTAGAGAATGTAAAGTGATACATAGCAAATTCATTAACTCAGATCCACTACCTGTTTAAAAATTTGCCTTACCTGGAATATTCCAATTAGAGAGTTGTTTCCCGTCGTCGAAATAATTCACGTCTGTGCCAGCATTCCGACAACTAAATTCTGCTCTGCGGTGTCGTCTGACAAAGTTAAGCCGCGAGAAAATTTTCAACTCCGGAAGTATCATTGTCATTTCTCTATTTTTCTACCCCTAAATAACAACTCTTTGTGCATAAAGTAATGGAATGCAGAACTTGCTGAAATACATAAAATGCACATGAATTCATATATGAACAAATTGCAGGAGCAAGAAGTAGGGAAAGTTAACTGCTAAGAAATAACAAGCCTCTCATTCAACTAGCCCTTAAAATCAGCATAAATTTTAAACAATATGAAAAATGTTTACAATCCCCTGTAACGCCGAATTAGAGCGCAGCTCTTGAGCAGGAGGGCGGAAGGTACGAAGGAGAAGCGCATGCCCCTCCTCCTCATACGTGCCCTGCCCTCCTTCTCTCCTGCTCGACTCCCATTTTGAGGAAAATTTTAGCTAAATGTCCCACTAAATTTAGCGGAAACATTTTCCGCTAAATTTAACGGGGAAATTTTCGTGCTGAATTTCCGGGGAAAGTTTTTTGCTAAAATTAGCGGGGAATTTTTCGCTCAATTTTGCGGGAAAGGTTTTCCGCTAAATTTAGCGAAGAATTTTTTCCGCTAAATTTAGCGATTTTTCTGATATAATTAGCGGAGAGATTGACCCATAGTGCAACGCGTGTTGACGCCACTGGTGACCCTCGCGATGTCACACGTGACGTCACGTGTGACGTTATCATAGGAAACGCCCCATAATGCACCGCGTGGTTCGCCGACGGCGACGCCGCCGCCGACGCCGCTCAAGACGGAAACGGGCGCCTAAGAGCTGCGCTTTTAAATATAAAAGTTTGCTTGCTCGTAATTATTTATGTGTACGCAATAAAGAGGTGGCAAACACACCCGAAGGCGACGTCAGCCTGCGCAGTTTTTGACTGTCCCGTTACTAAGGGTCACGTGGAAAGGTCACATGGTTCTTGACAGCGTCACATTATCTTAGGATCATGGAAAGGGGCGAATCACAGTCGGCTGTAAAATCAACTGTGCTTTTCGCACTTTTTTTTTATATTCTAGACATTATTTATTTTGCCACTGAACACTCCGGCGACTAATTTAATTTTCTAACTGATGCCATGCGGCAAGTAAGGATGTATATTTTAGCTTAATAAAAACATGTTTTGATTTTCTGTATTTGATTTCTAACTGCCATAGAGTGTTTGTAGGGCGGGCATGAAATATTTATTGGTAATGTGCCCCCTAAAAAAATGTTAAGAAAGTTATTAAGTGATTTTCAAAGGGAAAATAAAGCGGATCTCTATAGGAGGAAACACACTTAAATCGTTTTTATTGTGCCTCAAGGATCACGAATATGGAAATAATATTTCGAATTGATGCGCCAAGCAGCCACAATAGAGCTTCCAAAAATAGCGTCGAAGCCCCTCCTTCCCGTCGCGTTCGGTTGGACAAAGGAACCATGACGTATTATACGCATATCTCAATATTTCCGCCCTTTCCGCAAGCCTTACCCGAGCAGGCAAAGGAGTTGCAGGCGTTCCCTCACAAGCGCCACACGCAAAGCAGTTGAAATTTCTGAGTATGCAGTTTCACCCAGCGCTTGGTTTTTCGTTTTTTTCTCGCGTCTATGGATACTTTCGGACCAAATGCTTCTGGAAACCAAATTCACTGGTCGAAAATGCGCTAAAATTCACCTCTACCTCGTTGTTTTTTTGTTGTTTTTTTTTTGCTTTTTTTTTTTTGTTTAAGAATTTTTTCAGTTTTTTTTAAATACCGTATTTTCTGGGATATAGTCCGCAGCAGGTGTATGGTGCGCTGGGAAAGGTTTGGGGGCCAAAAATAAAAGTTTCGGCTTTGATAGACCGCACCCGGTGCATTGTCCGCACGCCGTGCATAATCCCCAAACGTGTGCACAGTCGACACGAAAATCTTCTCATACAGGCGCACCTTGATAAATGCCTACTTTATTAGTTTATAAAAAACCTTGTATTCTAAAAATGTCAGCATTCCCGTACTCATTAATTCACAAAATCCGTCACATCTCGTCGTAATGAATGATCTTGAAAAACAAAAATATTGTATAGTCGGCACGCGTAGATGGTCCGCCAGCCTAAAATTTCAACTTTTAAACATGTATAGTCCGCTGAATATAGCGTGGAAAATACGCTAATCCGGTTTCCAATTAGTGTCACTTTTCGTTCCTGCACTTGTGTCCAGCTTTTATTAACTTTCCGCAACGTTGTACCGACATGACGACAACGTTAATCCAAAGGACTCATTTCATTATTGCAAACTTCTTTTTTAAGAATTATTCTTGGTCGTTGGTTAAGCACACTTTATATATTATTGATTATAAACTTTGGCAGTGACTCTTTTCGTAAGAAGTAAACACAGAATTCTCAAGGCTACCGTTAATTTCAATCGCCCATTCTTTTTTTTTTATAACTTTATCATATTTGGTTTTGGCGTTCACAGATACGACACAACAAGGCTGACTTTGTCCTACTGGGCCTTTTTGATGGGCAAGCACCCGGACGTTCAAGAGAAGATGAGGACCGAAGTGATGCAGGCTGCTCAGGTGAGACACCACGCATGACATATTCCCGCGAGAACGACGTAACACCATGCGTTATGCGACGACAAAACAAAATTTCGAGAAATTGCGTGAAATAAATTCATCGTCGCACCAATTTGTAATGCGGAGCGCAAGTTCGTCTGCTTCATGCATGGCGGTCACGATGATATCAGAATGCCGAGCTCTTATTGGCTGATTGAAAAAAATAGTGGGTAGACCTCAATGCTAGATACATTGAGGTCTACCCACTATCCTTCCAATCAAAGCGAAGCGGAACTCTTCGTCGTTCTGACGTCATCGTAACCCCTGCTCAAGAAGCAGACGACTTGCTCTCCACAGAAGTTTGTATTTCGGAATAAAATATTGATATGACCAATTTTAGCAGCTTTGTAGCATAAGGTGGGCAATTGAGAACCACCATATGCAACTAAAACGAAGGTTTATATTCATTAATTTCTAATATCTAATATACACCTATGCTTAGTTTAAACTTAAGTCCACACGCAGACGATTTCACGAGCTAATGGGACCAATCAAGTACCGTCAAAAGCGCAAGTCACTGGGCCTTTTTGTTTTGTTCATGATTTGGTTCAACGATGATAGAACAGGTACTGAAACATGACGAGCATCATGATGGTAGGCTTTTGACGCCGACGGATTGGTCCGTTCAGCCAGTAGCGTCGTCTGCGTCGGTACTGAAGACGAAACGAAGTCTTGCTCATTCCAATAATCCCCTTTTGCTCGCTGGAACCATCGTTTGCTGAGCTAGTGGAAGACCGTGCGTGTGCAGTAGTAGTCCGCTTCCACGAAATTTAAGACGTCGCGCGTGCGTCCACACCCCAGTGACTCAGCATTTTTCGCCTGGATAATGAGCGCTGGAAACATTTATAGCTCCAATCTGGTGTTTTGCCATACCTTTTTTATAAAAATTAATATTTTTCTTGCGCTGAGACACGCAGTTTCCCCCGCCCCAGAGAGAGGGAAACTGAACAACATAAAAGCTGGCTACATGTTTCGTCATTTCGCTAAACGCGTTCAAATACGGTTTTTCTAGCAGCGTTGTGCCAAATATTCAACAAAAAAATTCAATTTTTTTGTTGAATTTGTTTCAGAGTATCTGCACTCTGCTCAAGTAAAAGTAGCTTAAATACTACTCTAAATACATTTGAAGATAGATATTAAGTATCTTTTTATTAGTAATAAAAAGATACTTAATATCTATCTTCAAATGTATTTAGAGTAGTATTTAAGCTACTTTTACTTGAGCAGAGTGCAGATACTCTGAAAAAGTAATTGTATTGCAATCGAAGACACTCGGCAAGTAGGTTGCGAGCTGGTAATGTAAGAATAAAAAAGTCACAAGGTGGTGCTCTACTTAAGATGACTTTGCTGAAAATCGCATTCTGCTGTGATCTTTATGAATTTGCTGCAATCGCAGTTTACTTTTAAATAATTCGGGATATAGAAAATAATGGGTAAAGAAAAAAAAAAGAAACTCACGTATGGTAGGCATGGCAACTGGCGTGCTTCAGTTGGGCGACGCTCGGCTAATGACGCATTTCGCAATAAGGTTGTAATATGCCTTGACGCGATTCGGCGGAGTTAAGACATAGTCCGGCATGGCAAATCCCTGACAACCGGACTAAAACTTTGATCAGGCAGCCAGACTTGATGATGAATAAAGGAGCGAACGATAAACGTACACGCTCAAGAGAAACATCGTCCATTCTCCGTTCACCCCTAAGCTGATACACCGCCAGAAGCTACATCCTCGGCGGAACCATCATACGCCTTTTGTTCGCCGCGTCATCACGTTGTCGCTCATAGCCACGTGCAGAGAGCCGGCTCATGCAATAAGAGAGAGGCGGCTCATTGGTCCGGAAGGCACGTAGCTCTCCCCGCACTTTCAGCCTTTGTCGCTGGTCAACAACTAAGAACGTGCACTTTCTTTCGCGAGACAAGGGCGAGGGGGACCAGTTGTACCTTCGAAATGCCAAACAAATATTAGGAAGGCCAAAAGGGAAACACGAGCAACACAAGCTTGTGTCCACGAAACCGAGTTCAATCCCTGGCTCCACCTGGCGGAAAACGTAGTTGGAAGATTCGGAGAATGAAAAAAAAATGAGCAAATTCGTAAGGAGATTAACGAAACCCTTTTGCACGAGCTTGAGAGCAGACGTTAACCCACAATGTGCACACAAGGGGCTTTAGGGAAGCCCAATCTAGGTCACTGCAGCTCAATAAAGCCAGCAGGATCTGGCTTCTTTGGCCGAGGGCTTGTTCGCACTCACATAAAAACGTGCTCGCGCATTTTCAGAAGAAAACCCTTAAACCAGCGTTTCCGAAAATTGTTTCATGTGACAGTATAGAACGTCGGCGTTACAACCTTCCGCTAACGGAACCACTACACCTTCAGGCAAAAGGTGGAAAATCTGGATGACGTCACCAACACTTCGCTACCTCCAAGCGTAAGTTGCAATTCGAAGACAACTTGGAAAAATAAAAAAGCGGACAAGAGGACGCATAAATTGGGTCGTACTTGGGGCAATCTATTCGGTAGTTTGTTTGCATTCGGGGACTGCATTTTTCTCGTGCCTTGTTTCCTGTCCTGTGTTTGATTCCTTGCCTCAGAGTCTGCAATCGGTTCAGTTTTGCCCTGGGGTTAGACGATCCCTAGATCTTTATATCGTACCGGCGACCGATATTTTCGAAGGTTGAAAAATGTATTCGAGATATTGAGTACAAGATAGTGTGAAAGGCAATTAAGATTTGAGTAGAATAATTAAGATACGCACAAGTCTACTTCTTAGGGTGGGTGGTCATCTTATTTCGGGTGGTGTTGAGGCTGGATGACCCTCGGGCCGTGTTCTAAAATTTACTCGATCTTACTCCAGGGTAAGAGTGTTTTACCTTGGCTTTCCAAAACCTACCCGCGTCCACCTTTTTTCATTCTGAGTTGTCACGTGAGACAACCCGCCGGAGTAACTCGGATACAATTGGGTGAGATTTTGAACGCAGGCTTAGTCTTTCAGTGCCTTGGGTGGGCGACACTCTTAGTTAAGCTGGTGCACTTAGGGCAGGGTTTTGTTTGGAAACAGATGACGTCGCGCCGAAACTGAAGACCTTTACATTAAAACCGGTGGGTATATTTTATTTATACTGTATCATGTAATCTTATGCTGTATTATACTATAGTTTACTCTATTATACTGCACTATTTTATACCATACTATAATGAACTGAACTATATTATACCATGTTATACTATGTTATACTATATCACAATATATTGTGCTATACTATGCTAGAATTTACTGTACTACGTTGCTATATCCTTCGTTACTTTACTATACTGCGGTATACTATACAATACACCATACGTGTCAAGACTGGCTTAAACAGTTGAGAAGCACTTTCGAAACCACCGAACCTTAGATGAGACAAACACCGATAACCTCTATTGAAAGGAGCGAAAGAATGCAGGCGAGCTGGTTAGGAAACATCAGCGTTTAGATTAGAGTATAGACCAAGCTTTAGATTATGGGTAGAACGCGAAGTTACACTTAATCACTTTGACAGAGTTCGCGACCATCAGCAACCATTCTGTGGCAACTTCACCCGAACCGTCCGGATCATTGAGCGGGAGTCTGCTAGCGTTCTGGCCAATACCAACTAGAAAAGAATCCCCGTGTTTTTCCCCTTCGAACGTCGTCCCTAGTGGATCAACGCAGCGTAGCCTAGCTTGAGTCATCATCTCCACCATAGCGTCTCGAAGCGTCTCAAAACAAGCGTGATGCTAGCACGCGCTGACGTCAGGACGTACGCGTGTGGCACCTTGCATCGACTCGTATATATAGCCTCAACGTTTTTGCCGATTTTGGTGGGTCAAGGATGCACTACAGACGTCATCACCCGCGGCGGTTTTTAGTCTCACCCCTCAGCACGGCAGCTTTGTGTCTGACCCCCCAGCACGGCGGCCAGAGGTCGGTACTTTAGGTCGCCCTCACTCACCCTCACCCTCACAGCCACACTCACCTCAGCCCCTCACTCACCCTCACCCTCACAGCTACACTCACCTTCAGCCCCTCACTCATCCTCACCCTCAGAGTCACACTCACCTTCAGCCCTTCACTCACCGTCACTGAACCTCACGGCCCTCACGCACTCACCGCCCTCACGGCCCTCACCGCCCTCACGGCCCTCACGCCCCTCACTCACTCATGGCCCTCACGCCACTCACCGCCCTCACGCCACTCACCGCCCTCACGCCACTCACGGCCCTCACGGCCCTCACGCACTCATAGCCCTCACGCCACTCACCGCCCTCACCGCTATCACGGCCCTCACCGCCCTCACGCCACTCACCGCCCTCACGCTACTCACCGCCCTCACGCCACTCACCGCCCTCACGCCCCTCACCGCCCTTGAGTCCCTCACACCCCTCACGCCCCTCACGCACTCATGGCCCTCACGCCACTCAGGCCAGCTTCAGATGGGGCAATTTCGCCCAAAAACTTTACGTCGCAACACCAGCAACACGGGCCGCCCGCGATCACACGCAGCAACCAATTGCTGCAATTTGCCATCGTCATCATAAAATTTTATTTTTCTTGCACTAGTTAGACACAATTACGCGTTATAAACGTGTTTTTATGCATTTAAATCTGGTTAAGAATACTAATGCACCTTTCTGAAACGGTTTATTTCCAAAAAAAAACGATCGATTTCAAACCAGAACCAAGTCTTTCGGTGTCATTATCACCGGCACGAGGTATCACGTGAAATTTTTGCGTCCCTGATTGGATGCAGCCGCTTCAAACGTATTCGAATTGCTCTGAGTTGCTTGCTTATTTCGAGCCGGACCCGATTTCAGCAATTCGTGTCGATCTAGGGAAAGCTAGAGAACAACCCGCCATTAACACCAAAATTGCTGAGAAAGATGCTCGATCTGAAGGGCGCTTTACGCACTCACCGCCCTCACGCACTCATGGCCCTCACACACT